GGCCCAGGCCGCCTAGGCTAGGTGGAAGTGAGGCTTGGTCCCAGATCCGGCCATCCTCTGTCTCGCCCCTCGGGTGGCACACCCCGCAAGCATCCAACAGCGTGTACAGCAGAGCACGGCCCCACCTTGACCACTCGGCCTCGGGAAGGAGGTACAGGGGGGTGTGCGGGCAAGGTATGAGATGCGCCTGGAGATGCAACGCGTTAGCAGCAGCGCTGCCACCTGTGGGTCCATGCACGCTATGTGGGGTAGCGGGGACGACATATTCTCTAGCTGAGACCGTAAAAAGGCTGCTGCGTCCTTCCGCCGTACCAATGAAGCTTCCCAGCACCCTCAGCCCTTCCGTGCGAAATGGGACCCCCTGGGGCAGCTGCTGGGGATCTGTGGCCGCTGCACTCTATGCAGCGCACTTCTCAGGATTGTGGGTCAGCCCTACGTCATGCATTAATGGTTGGTGGAAAAGGTACAAGCATGTAGGATTCGGTTCTGGCCGATAGGCTAACCTAGGCAGGCAACAAGCAGGGGCACATAAACCAGCATGCAACAAGACCAGCCTTAAGATGCTAAGGAAATTCACCAAGTGGCTACTGCCAAGGCGGCCTGGCGCTATCAGTTGAGTTTCCAAGGTCCCCCCAACCTCCTGTTCAACCCTACATCCCTGGTTCACTCCTGGCTGTGCTTACACTCCTGCAAGGTCATCATCAAGCACCTGCCAGAGGTCCCCTAGGCTCGGCTCCCAGGGGTCCGCAGGGGCTTGGGGGAAGGCTGCCTCGGCTGCCATGTTGCTCTTGTTAAGGAACAAGATCGCCTGGGATCGCTGCAGCATGACTGACCAGCGTTGGCGGTAGTGTGCATTGAGGCGAGAGGCGGTGGTGGTGAGCGGCCCTTGCCTGAATTTCTTCCTTGCTGTGGCTACCGCTAACAGCCTAAGAAACTGCACAGTATCAGTAGCTAGCGCCCCATAGGTCTCAGCTGCCAGGCCAAAACAGCCCACATAGTCAGGGCGGCCGTCATACAGGCGGTGCTTCCTCTCGGAAGCTTCCTTGGCAGCCCATCCCGGTGGCTTCCGCACCCTGGGGTCCCGCTTCTGCAGCACTGGGTCAGTCACCGTTACATCCGTGACCCAGGTCTCTGCTGATTCCCTATCCTAGACGCCATGTCTGCCCTCTTGCCGTGGACCGGGGGGGAGAACACCGATGTCTCATGGAAGGTGTTGAAGCCCGCCTCCCTCGCCAATCTCAAAGCCGTGTAGACCAGGGCGTTATGCGTCCTCACCACATCTCCCCCTTCCCCACACCGGAGCAGGTGATTCGCCAGACTAGTATCCTTGATTTCCGAGTTGTCGTGTTTGCAGGGACACTTGACCGTGACTGGTAGGGCCATCCCGAGGCGGAACCCGAGTGCCAGCGAGAACTGACCAGGGGCAAATGTAAGGTCAGATCTCGTCGGCACTGCGTGTAGCCAATCCCCGGCCCCCACTCCCCTGAAACTCACTAGCCGGACCCCGTGCCCCTGGTCTTCCCCCGGTCTGTCAACCACAGTGTCGGCTAGCAACTCCCTGGCCCTTACCGCGTTGATGTGCTTGGACAAGAGGAGCTGCAGGTTACCCTGCCCCTGGGGGGCCTTCCCGGTAGGTATGTAGTGCTGTCCGTGCCTCTGTCGGCAGCCCCTCCTCTAGTACCACCAGATAGTTTGACGCTGGGGGCGGGGGGACCCATTCTCTGGACAGCAGCGTCTCGGCCCGTGCCAACAGCTCCTGCTCCCGCAAGTTCATCTGCTGTAGCAGGTGGTGCGCTGCTGTCAGGGATGCAATATACGCTGCCGGTGCCTCAGAAACGGGATCAATGATGCCCAGACCCCTGAGGCGCACGGGCAGGGTCACTTGTCGCCACAAGAGGCTCTGTTCCAGCTCACTGGCCGGGATCCGTAGCTTGGCAGCAGTGAGCGTCGCCCCTACCAAGGACTCTCAGCTGCGGGTTCATTCCTTCTAACCCCTAATGTTCAACTCACACCTCCACTACAGCCAGCCCTACTCCGCCCCTGCCGCCTTTGTTACTTCCTCCCCTGTGTTTACACCCCTGCAAGGTCATCGTCAAGCACCTGCCAGAGGTCCCCTAGGCTCGGCTCCCAGGGGTCCGTAGGTGCTTGGGGGAAGGCTGCTTCAGCCGCCGTGTTGCTTTTGTTGAGGAACGAGATGGCCTGCGAGCGTTGCAGCATGACCGACCAGCGTTGGCCGTAGTGCGCGTTGAGGCGGGAGGCTGTGGTTGTGAGTGGCCCCTGCCTGAACTTTTTCCTCGCTATGGCCACCGCCAACAGTCGTAGGAACTGCACCGTGTCCGTTGCTAGTGCCCCGTAGGTCTCAACTGCTAGGCCGAAGAACCCCACATAGTCTGGCCGGCCCTCATACAGGCGATGCTTCCTCTTGGAAGCTTCCCTGCCCGCCCACCACGGCGGCTTCCGTACTCGTGGGTCCCGCTTTTGCAGTACCGGGTCTGTCACTGTTACATCGGTGACCCAGGTCTCTGCAGACTCCCTATCCTAAAACGCTAGATCCGCCCGCTTGCGGAGGACGGGGGGAGAGAATGTCGCCGTCTCATGGAATGTGTTAAAGCCCGCTTCTCGTGCCAACCTCAGAGCCGTATAGACCAGCGCGTTGTGTGTTCTCACCACATCCCCCCCCCTCACCACAACGGAGCAGGTGATTGGCTAGGCTGCTGTCCGCAATCTCTGAATTGTCATGCTTACAGGGGCAGTTGACTGTGACTGGAAGGGCCATCCCTAGGCGGAAACCGAGGGCTAGCGAGAACTGACCAGGGGCAAATGTAAGGTCAGATCTCGTCGGCACCGCGTGAAGCCAATCTCCAGCCCCCACCCCCTTTAGGCTAACCAGTCTGACTCCATGTCCCTAGTCCTCCCCTGGTCTGTCAACTAATGTATTGGCCAGTAGCTCCCGTGCACGTGTGATATTGATGTGCTTCGACAAAATCAGCTGCAGGTTATCCTGGCCCGCCGGGCCTGCTCTGTAGGCCTGGAAGTACTGTCTGTGCATCTGCCGGCAAGCCCTCCTTTAGTGTCACAAGCACGTTCGTCTCCGGGGGCGGGGGAACCCAGTCCCTGGACAGGAGGGTTACTGCCCGTGATAGTAGCTACATCTCCCGCAGGTTCATCTGCTGCAGCAGGTGGTGCGCCGCTGTGAGGGAGGCGATGTACGCCGCCGGTGCCTCTGAAAGGGGATCGATGATGCTCAGACCTCCCAGGCGGACAGGCAGTGTCGCTTGTCGCCAGAGGAGGCTCTGCTCCAATTCAGTCGAGGGGATCCTGAGCTTGGCTGCTGTCAGCGCCGCCCCTAACAGAGACTCGCTCCACGCCCTCCACTCCTCCCGTTCCAGTGTGCCGCTCGGAGTGGTGCGGAGCAGTTAAGAGATCATGCGGGAGATGCTGCGGGTGAGTAAGAGCAGGGCGTGTTGTGGGTGTAGTTGCGCGATCAAGGGGACGGGTGCCGCCGCTTTGTTGAGCGCCTGCCGAACCTGTGCGGTGCAGTACTCCTGTGTGTCGATAGGGCTTCCCAACACCGTGATCCCCTCCGTGCTCATTAGCAGGCCGTGTGGTGGCCCTGCCAGCCCCTCATCTCCCTCCTACGGTCCCCATGCCGATGACTTCGCCACGTGCATCGAAGTCCCTGCTTCGCGAGCTCGGTGGCAATGACGTCAAACGCCTTGAACACCTCCTCCCGCGGTCCCACCACTGTGATGTCGTCGGCGTACGCTATGACAGCCGCCCCTGGGTGAGTGGATGCTATGCACATCAAGATCGGCTGGATCGCCACCGCAAACAGGAGCGGGCCGAGGGGATCCCCCTGACGCACACCACGGGAGCTGATGATGTGGTCGACTCCCATAGCCGGGTCGACCAGGAGCCGCGATGGGGAGTCATATAGCGTCCCTACGAATGGCAGGAGCTGATGGAGATCGGACAGCTGCAGCGCCGTGAAGGAGGCCTCCCGCTCGACTGAATTGAACGCATTCTCAATATCGAGCTGGAGGGCGATGTGGTTCTCGTTCTCACGAAGCAGGGCGCGTACTGCGTGGATGACGCATTCCGCACCGCCGGGAAGTGAGACATCGAACTGGACCGGAAGGAAAAACTCTCGAATCGCCGGTGCTAGCTCTCGTAGTGCTGCCTTAGCCGCCACCCTAAGTAGTGCCTCGCCTATCGCGATAGGACGTACCCCCCCCTCCTGGCTTTTCGAGGGCTATCAGCCGCGACGGTAGGAGTAGGTCGCGTACTTCTTTTGTCTGCACACTGTTTAGTAGCTGGCGGACAACCTTAGTAAGGAGTATGAGGACCTCCTCGCTGCAGTGGGCTGGTCTTTTAGATGCTCGAAACAAGTGCCGGACGGGCCCGCTCCAACCCCGTTCGGACATTTCGCCAGTACTTCGCGAACATCGTCAGGGGTCAGGCTAACTGACGAGATTGGCGAGACTGTGCGGCTGGTAACCCAGCTCGGGATTGGTATTTCCCCAATTGGGTGCTTCGATTGTAGGGCCGCAAGTGTAGTTGGTGTTGCTTCTGCCAGCGGGGTCACTTGTAACGCGGCTACTGCCTTGGAAATGTTCGCCTTTTTAATCAACCCCTCCGCTCTTGCACACAGCCCAGCGTCATCAGGTTGGTGTCGTGTCGGGGCCTCTGTAACGGGTATAGCGCATGCCTCAGTGTAGAGGTCAGCAAATTCCCCGAGCCTAAAGTGGTGCAGCCTCGTCTCGATCTTTATCCAGCGGTTCCCCTCCACTGGCTCCGGCAGGGGTTGAAGGGTCAGCCGGGGTAGATATTGCAGCACCGTCCAGGCTCCTACGCAGTCCGGTTTCGTAGCCAATCGCAGGAGGGGTGCCAGCAGGCACCGGGTGTAGCTCTCCAAGACCTTTGGGGGCAACCGCCGAACTAGGAAAGGTTGGTCCATTCGCTGTAGTGGTGCAGTGTCCCAAGCGCCAGCCAGATGCCAGATGGGGTCATCCTTTGCCAGGTCAGCGGGAGATTTCTCGGATGGCTGTGGTTCCGCGCCTGCCGCCCGATTTGCTCCCTCGTCGGTGGGTGGTGGTAGACCACCTGCTCTCTCCCTTCTCCTTTGCCTCCTGGTTGACGTATGTTCGTGTTCTTCGTCACCCAGGGAGACCTCCTCCGATGCCACTGAGCCAGAGGGCATAAAGTCACTCCCGTTCTGAGAGTTGTCAGAGCCCACATCCTCCTCGGCGGCAGGCGCAGCCACCTGCTCTGGACGATCGTGGCGATCTCGCCACGTGCCCGATCTCAAGATCGCGGCTTCTCCCTCTAGCAGAGGGATCCTTCCCCTCGCGTGCCTCCCCTTCCGCCTCTCCCACCACGTGGCCCCACTAGTGGAACATCGGCACCGCCACCTCTCTCCAATGCTGGCCTTAAACCCCTGCCGGCCGGAACCCAGGGGGTCGCCATAGTTGCCCGCCATGCGCCAGTCGGCCTACCCCACACGATTCCCCGACCCCTCGCTGCGCTCCGTGTTTCTCGGTGAGTTGTTAGCCGGGTGGTGGGCAATCCTTCCACTTGTTGAGGCCCCTGACTTGGCTGCCTGGCTCCGTGCTGTGCCTGACCCGCCTCTCCTGTGTTGATCCTCTCGCTGGGTCCCGTTGCAGGCTGGGGAGCAGATGACATCAAACGCGCTTGCCCTGGTGGCGACTGCTCTTGCCGAAGCCAGCCCCGGAGGGGTCCCGGGGCCCCAGGTCCCAGCCCTGCTCCAGGCCGCCTCGGTGCTGGCTGGGCGCGCAGCCTCTGCTTCCTCCTCGCCGGGGTAGCGCCGGCAGCGGCGACGACCGCGGGACCCTCAGTATCACCCTCCGCGTGGCCGTGCCCCTGCATGCTTGCGCCCGCGGCAGCTGCAGGCGTTTCGGCGGACTCCGCGGCGGCCGGCGTCGACGGTTCGATCGGGGATTGGTCTTACCGCCCCACCACCTCAGCTACAGCCGCAGCAATCACAGGCGCTTCGAGAGTTGGCGGGGATTCTGCCCCTACTGGCGCCGGTGAATCCGCCAGTCCCGGCTCCCCTTGTAACTCCTCCGCAGCCGGCCCCTCCTCCGACAGTGGGAGCAAGACTAAGCCGTCGTCAGAGGCGGCAGCAGTCCCAGCAGCAGGCCGGCGCGACATCTGCCCCAACTCCGTCGAATCTGCCACCACGGCCACAAGCGCCCCCCCCCTGCAGCCTCACACCTGGCCCCACAGCAGCAGCATCCTCCCATAAACCAGTTTCCCTTGCCCTAGCCTCAGATGCACCATCCGCCAGCTCCCCCAGTGCCGCCACTCCCTCCTGTCCCGCCTGCTCCTCTTGCTGCTGCTCTTGCAGCCGCAACACCTCCCCTCATCGAGCAGCGCGTTGTGCACGTGGGGACGTGCTTGACGTTGCTGTCGTACATACTGGACCAGCTCCACGTGTGTTTGGTACGGCAGGGCTTGGAGATTGGGGGGATGTTGCCGGCGGAGCAGTCTGCGGCGGTGGCAGCGGCCACGGAGATGCTGCACTATCTACCCCTGATCGGCCTTGTGCAGGGTGCTCCAGGTGCCGCGCTCGGGCCAGGCCCCCGGGCAATGGTAAGGCTTGCTGAGTCTGCCCGGGGGAGTCCACTTGGTCTTGTATCAGCAGCCGCATCCGTCCTACGCTGGATGGACGGGAGGCTGTGCTGGATCCTCGCCGAGTAACAGGTGGTTTTCCCTTGCAGGCTCCCGTGGTGCTGGGCCTTGCCTTGGGCTTCCCCATGCTGGAATCCTCCGGCCTGAGGGTGGTGTTGTTGTCCTTCCTTGTTAGTGGCTCCTGGTGTACCACATGCTGCTAAATGACTTGTTCTGCCACTATCCTTGCCACCCCTCACGCGAGCCGGCAGGTTTGAGAGTGATCCTAACTCACCAGTGAATAATGAGCCCACTAGCTTAGATCCAGGGCCTTTATACTAGGGAAACAGGCCTAGAAATGGCTAAGGACTAGGTCCCAGAGTAGAGAGGCCTAGAAATGGCTAAGGACTAAGCCTATGCCATCTCTCTCTCTCTCTCTCTCTCTCTCTCTCTCTCTCTCTCTCTCTCTCTCTCTCTCTCTCTCTCTCTCTCTCTCTCTCTCTAATGGTCCGTGTATTGATATATCGAAAGGGTACAAACATGCAAGGTATAGATGCTAGGGATGCAAACAAAAAGCAAACAACTATATTTCTGCACACAACTATCTACCTACACCTCCATGAGAGGTTCTAGCACGGCACAGCAGTCCCCCAGGTGGAGCTCGGACTGCACCCCCCCACTGGGGGTTTTCAGCTACGGCCGTCTGAGAGGACTTGATAAGGTATCTCACTGACTGTGCTCGTTGCAGAGCCACGGACCAGCGCTGCCTGGAGAGGTGTAGGAACCTCCTTGCATGGTGGGAGGTCGGTTGGGCGTTGAAATGACGCCTAGCAGCTGTGTCCGCCAATAACTTCAAAAACTGTGGGACTTCCGCACATGGGCAGCCATATGTCTCAACTGCAAGGGGGAAGAAGCCGACCGTGTCAGGCCGGTTAGCGTAGTGACCGATTTTCTTGTCCGCCTGCTCTCTTGCTGCCCATCCCCTCCCCTTAGTAGCATTGGGATCCCGGGTGCTGATGGGATCTGTGATGGTGACATCACAGGCATAGACCGCTCCCAATCGGCGGTCTGTTCTTCAATAGGGCAGTAGGCGGCCGATTCACTGTGGACTATGAAGCCAACATCTTCCGCCATTGTAATGCATGCGTCCCGCAGCTCGTTATGCGTGTTGATGCGGTGCTTGCCAGTGCTGCAGCGAAATAGGTGGTTTGGCAGTCGTGGGTCTTTGATCTCGACATGCTTAGAACAGTCACAGTTTTTAGGTGTAGAGAACGGAAGCCCAAGCCTGAAGCGGACGGCATTGGCAAAGTGCTCGGGACCTACGCGGCGGGTGTGTTCTATTGGGAATGCCGTCAGCCAGTCCCCCGTGCCGTAGCCAGAGAGAGAGAAGAACCGTTGGGTATGGCCTGAGAGTGGGTTCAGCCGCATGAGCCGTATTGCCTGTACTTGTGTGGAAAATCTGCTCCCCTGCACTCTCACCCCGAGCTCATGCTGTAGCTTTAAATCTGAGGGCTCGAGCCTTTCCTTGTCTAGGATGACCCTGGCCTCCTGCGGCAGTGCCCTCTCACATTCGGTTAGCCAGCGGTGTAGAGCAGTGTTGACGTCTTGCGGTAGCAGCATGTGATTTCTAACCGCCATCAGGGCCGTTTCTGACTCCAGAGGTACGCCTTTAAGGAGATGTGAAGCTTGCGTTAAACTAGCTAGGAAGCCGAACGTTCCTTCTACCGTGGGATTTGTGAGGCCGATGCCTCCTAATGACGGTGGGAGTGACGACTGCTTCCAGACCCGAGTCTGTTCCGTGTCGTCAATTGGTAGGGCGAATGCCGCATGCTGTAGGTAGTGTGGACAGCAGGTCCCTACCCCACTGGGACCAAGTGTTTGTGTCTAGTACGTGGAGAGGAGTAGTTCGTGTGAGGTATGCTACTCGTCGTGAAATGCAGCGGGTGAGTAGGAGGGATGCGATCTGTGGGTCCATTCTCTCTATCAGAGGTAGTGGTTTGGACATGGCCTGTAGCTGCGCGGATAGGAACAAAGCGGCGCCGTCTGGTGTTCCTAGAAAGCTACCGAGAAGCCGAACTCCCTCAGTACTAGTCGGCACCCGGGCGGCAGCTGTACTTCCTGGTCTATCGGGCGGCTACTCCATGCGACACATTTCTCAGGATTGTGTCGCAGGCCTACGTGGGATAGTTGAGTCGTGAAGAAGGAAAAGGCCGCGATGGTCTCACTGTGTTCGCCTAGGAAACTGATGTCATCGGCGTATGCCAGGCATAGTACGCCGGGATGTGCTATAGCTATTGCTCTTAATGCGGGATGGATTCCGACCGCGAATAGAAGTGGACCCAAGGGGTCCCCCTGTCGTACTCCGCGTTCACTAGTGAGTGGTGCGCTATTGAAGCTAGCGTCCAGGAAAAGTGATGATGGGTGGCCGTAGGTCAGTTGAACTAGCGGTAATAGTGGTGATAGGGCCGGATCTTGTAAAGCAGTGGCTATGGCTTGTCTCGATATGCTGTTGAAGGCGTTGGAGATGTCGGTCTGTAGGATAAGGCAGTTGGGGTGTGCATCCGTGTATGCTCGGGCACTGTGAATGATTGCTTCCGCTCCCCCTAGCACAGCTACACCATACTGTAGAGGGAGAAAATATCCCCGAGCAGCCTCGCCTAGGGCTGACAGCGCAGCTTTTGCCGTCAGGCGAGTCAGACTCTCGCCAATTGCTATTGGGCGGGCCCCACCTTCTGGCTTGGCCAGGGCTACCAGTCGTGATGAAGTGAGTAGTTCTGCGACTGGCTGTGGCAGTTTTCCTCTCAGGATCGTGTTTACTAAGGCGTGCAGATAGGTTGAGACGGTTGCATTTGTTACTGGCGAATCGCGTAGGTGTTCGAATGTCATTCCACTCGGGCCAGCCCCAACACCATTCTCGCATCGGCCGAGCATCTTCGAAAAAATCCGCGTAGGAAATTTCGAGGGTGGAAGGTTCGGTGATGGCAGGCCAGGTCAGGGGGTCAGGTTCGGTTGCGGGGTGCTTTCGGCGGAGTTCGTCCAAATCTCTGGGCTCGGTGTACAGACTAGCGTTGACTCGAGCGCCAACACGGCTCGGCGCAGGCTTCCTTTCTTTGCCAGTCCCTCCGCTCTGCTGATGGTGCCCACGTCGTCAGGCTGGTGACGTGGCGGGGGTGGTGTGTTGACCGCTTCAACTGTGTCTAAGTACAGCTGCTGCCACTCGCCACGTTGAAATGCCCGGAGCCGGGCTTTGATTTTGGACCAATCGGGTCATTTCGCTGAACCTTGTCGCAGAGTCAGGCGCGGGAGAAATAGAAGTAACTTCCATCCCGCGATGAAGTCACGGTTTCGCGAGAGGTGTAGAAGTGGTGTTAGTATGACGAGCGAAAAGATCTCACACAGTTCTGGTGGTAGTCGTCGTAACAGCGTAGGTTGGCGACCGTCGCATAGAGGCGAAATGTCCTAGTCCGCCACTTCGGTGAATTTGTCTGTCTGCCTTGCCAGTTCTTCTGGAGAAAAATAGCGGGCATTTTGGGACTGGCAAGCCGCACCCTCCTGGACCCTCCGTGATCGATTTGTTCGTCCGCAGCTCGTAGGACGTGTAGAGGGCGGGGGTTGGAATGATGACTGTCGGATCCCCATCTTGTGGCACCCGTGTACCTCCTGCTTGCCCTGCTACTCCTCTCCTGTTCCCTCCACTACGTCTTGCCTGTCGTTCGCTCTCTTCATCCTCGTCGTCCTCCTCGCTCGGCGGTTGTGCCTCCTCCCTATAAGGCGGGTCGTTTTGCTCCTCTGGGTCAGTATTCTCATCCAGCTGTGTTAAAGCCCTTCATGCCGCCGCTTGAAACGCGTCCTCCGGTCCTCCCTCAATTCTGCGTCCTTCACGGCACCCTGCTCCTCGCCTCCTCCTGCCTCGTGATGGTGATTGCTGGAGACCCGTGGCCATCGCCAAAGCCCGCTGCCCGCTGCGCCATCGGCGCGCAAAAGGTCACCGCCGGTGTCTGCCTCGGGGATTGCCGCAATGAAGCCGCGAGTCCCCCCTGCCCCGAAGCCAACGCCCCCGCTCGCTGGTGTCTCTGCCCCTCCGACTCCGGACCTCGAGACGTGTGGGGCTCCAGTGTCTCCCGTGCCCACCCCGTCGGCCCTTGTTGCTGAGCCGGGCCATCCTGCTCCTGTCGCGGGTCCCGCACCAGATGCCCCTGGTCCACTGGTTGTCCCTGTGAATCCTGCGGCGCCGCTTGCCGCTGCCGATCCTGGTGTTGCGCCGCCCATGCCTGAGCTCCCTGCGGCACTGCCCGCCGTTGTTGTCCCTATTGCGACCGACGCGGCTGTTGGTTCGTCGCCGATGGCGGTGTCCGCCACCACTGGCGGCCAGGGCCCGAATGTGGCGCCAGCGGGGGCCGTCCAGCCGGCGCTTGTTGCTGCATATGCGGGTCATCAGCAGGGCCAACGCTCCTCTCGCCCGCATTCTCCTGCGCCCCGTGAGGAGCGGGAGTCATCCCAACGCCGTCGCGATTCCCCCCGGCGTAACTGCTCACAGGCGAACTGGCATGCGCAACATGGCGGTCATGGAGGATGGGCGGGAGGTCGCGGTTATGGCGGCGGCTCGGTGTATGTTCACCCGATTTCACTGGCGGATGTGCAGCGTGTTGTCTCAGCGGCGATACGCGAGGAGAGGGCGGTGCAGCGCCGTGCTCCTGCTCTAGCCACCCCTCCTCCGGCCGTTTCTCCCGTGGCTGCGGCTCCACCCCGTCAGGCTGTTGCTCCCGTTCCTCTTGCTCCTGCTCCGGCTCCCTCCGTCCATGCCGCGTCTGCTGCCACACGAGATCGTCGCTTGCGGCTACCAAGGGTTCCCCCGATGGCGGGACTGGAATTTGTGACTGCGGCAGGAGGAGCGGTGACTGCACAGTACCCGCCTCTGCTGCCTGCTGATCCAGCACCCTCATCCGCTCTTGATGCACCGATACTCCCGACCTTGCCTGGGCCCCCTCGCATGGCTGAGGTCCCGGAAGCGAGCCTGGCGCAGTTGTGGCGGCTCTGTGAGGCTCTTCGCGCCGTTCACCTGATCCAGGTGTACGGTCATGCTGCTCTGTTCCAGGGGAATTCCCTGGACGGAGGCCCTCGGGACGAGTGCCTCGATGCGGCGGATTGGCTCGCCGAGATCCTGGCGCCCGTGCTGACTGCGCCTGCGCGGGGTGTAATTGCGGGTGTTGGGCAGCTTGGTACGGCTGTCCGTGGGTTGAAGCGGGTCCTGCGCGCAGGTACTGGAGACGAAGTGATCGGTGCAAGCGCGGCGGTGGTGCGGGAGCTTCACCGCTCTCAGACTGGGCTCCTTGCGGTTCATGACGCGGATCAATTCTAGTATCCGCCGGTGCTTCTTCACCGTTTGCTTTCTCCTGTTGCCCCATTTCCTCCCCGTTAGTTGTACTCCACAATCGCCATCCATATATGCAGATGCTATATTTGCTCTTGTTGCCTCTTGTGCACTTGCCGTCCCCTCACGCGCGG